TTGCCATGTTGTGGCCTCTCCCCTCGAGTCGTCCTTCAGGCTGCTCAGCCAGCCAGTAAGTGTCTGTGTCCAGCCGCAACTCAGATCCTGAGTCTGTTCCAAGTGCTCCACCATCTCAATCCACTGTCTCCACTTGAATGTCTCAGACCCACCGTGAGCCCATCATGAGTAACAGAAATTCATCATCTTGCCTACTACTCCAACATTCCCAATTTCAGTGAATAATCTTGCCATCCAAACAAGTTTGAAATCCAGATTCAGCCTTTGGCCATAATACTCCACACAGTGCTGAGAAATTATGCCTGCATCACATAAGCCTGCTCTGATGTCTGGGTGTCTCTCTTTTGTGATTGGTCCTAATGTTGTTAGTATTTTCTATCATATACCAATTTGCCATGCATCTTTTATCTATTGTGTTAGCATGCAATGATGATCATTGGGTAACTGATTATTTTATAAGCTGTTGAAACATTTGTATCCTACTTCTATTGCTATTTCTGCATTTATTAGCTAGAAATCCTCTATAAAGAAGAATTTTCCATAATCTATTCTGTTACCTCAGAATACAGTCTGTATAGAAAAGAGAAGAAAGAGCTTGATGCCTTCACTCTATTTAGCAATTTTCAGAATAATTATCAAGATCATTAACATCATCCTCAAACAATAACCAAATGTTTACCTCAGGGATAAGATGCCTCCTTTGCACACATGCTCAGACTGTGATCATGGCAGCCACTGTCGTAGTAGGAAAAAGCATTTGGTAAATGGCTCTTCTTTTTGGATAAGTCTAAGATTTTAAAATGAATTCTATCTTTCTTAGTCTTTTCGGGCTGCTATAAGAAAAATACTATAGACCGGGTGGCTTATAAACAACAGAAATTTATTTCTCACGTTTCTGGAGGCTTGACATCCAAGATCAAGGCACCAGCAGATTCAGTGTCTGGTGAGAACCCATTTCCTGGTGAGAACCAGCCTTCTGGACACCATAGACAGCCTTCTCTCTGTGTCCTCACATGGTAGGAGGGGCAAGGGAACTTTCTGGGGCTTCTTTTATAAGGACATTAATTCCATTCATGAGGGCTCTGATCATCTAATCACTTCCCCGGCTCCTATTACCATCATATTAGGCATTAGATTTTCAACATGTGAATTGAGGGGAACACAAGAATTGAGACCATAGCAATATCTATGTCAAGAAATTGAGTGAGAAATATTATATGGAAAAAACAGTTGGGCTTGCTAGGGTTGGAACACAAACACTGAGGTGTATCCATTCAGGGAAGAATTTTTGTGTGTGGGGGAAACAGGCAGAATGCCACGCTGTCTACTTCCTTCCGGGCCTCCTGACATCCCTCATCCATTTCCCCTGTCATGACCCTGGCTGAACTCTTTTCTTCCATGTCCCTTGATTGCACACAGTGAAGCCTACAAAATTCAGTCTGAAGCTTTGATCTACACATAGTTGAAGAGTAATAAGATAATATTTGTTGGTTGAAAATACTATTGAAACTACAGACTTTTGAAAGCATGTACGTCATGATGGAGCGACATTGCAGTGTGTGCATTCAGGTTTTTCTTTGGGTTCCTGTTCTGCTGAATGGAGTCTATAATATATTGTCTCCCTTTTACGGAATATATTTTTTAAAAATAGAAGGGCAGAATAAATACAAAGATACTTGGATGATGACATAAGCTTAAAATTATAATTTATGTTGAACTTTTCTCATTTTATGTAAATTAAATCTACTCTATATATTCCACACAGAATTTTGAAGAACTTCACACATTTATTTAAAAATTTATAGAAGACAAAGTTTTCACTATTGTTCACCTGTTTCAGGGACATCCAACATCTTCCTCCCCAACATCACAGTAATAGCCCTGTGTAACATCTTTTCTCTCTTGACCCTGAGCCAACATACCGAAACTCACAAAATTAACTCTAAAGCTCCAGTCGGCGTATATTTGAAGAGCAACAAGATGTTTATTATTTCGCAGCTATGATACCTACTTTGTATCTGAATGACATTATATCGTGTGTTACTCCCATATCTTGAATGGCACTTGCTCCATTGGGAGCATCTGAAATAACAAGATGCAGAAAAAACTACTGGGAAATTTAAATGCGTGCCCTTTAGGAATATCAGATGGCTCTTCTCCTTCATTGGAGCCTCAGCAACGCCCCTCTCCAGGCCTCTGTGGCCTTGGCTCCTAGAAGGAGCAGAGCATCCCTTGCTCGGCGGGATGCAGGATAAAAACTACATTACCCAGAAGGCTGTGCTCCGCGGGACAGCGGTATGCGCCGGACTAGTGATGAAACCGGGAAGGGGCGTTGCTGGCCCGCAGTGGCAAAGGCGGGACTTCCGGGGGCGCCGGCGTGGACGCCTGCTTGTGGCGGGGTGGGTCTGTCCACGCCCGCTGTGAGACCCCGCGCGGCTCGTCGGGACGGAGCAGGGAAAGACAGCAAGGAGGAGCCACCTCCGCGCCTTTGTAGGACCTGGGGGAGGGTCGGCTGAGTCCGCGGGACACCCCCGTCCCCCGGCGCCCTCGCGCGGCCCTGCTCTCCCCACGGTCCGATGGCGGCGCCCCTGGACCCGGCGCAGGTGAGTGGACAGTGCCCCAGGCCTCTCGCCCGCTGGGATGTCACCCACGTGGCCGCGGCGCACTGACGTGCGGGATGGCGGTGTCCTGTGACCCTTCGCTTTGCCGTCTCCCGGCCGTTGTTTTCTGTGAGCCCCGGGATGGGGTTCCTCGGCTCCGGGTCCCGAATCCAGGTCAGGGGCTACCGGGGGACGGTCCCATCTCTGAAGCCACTGGGGATGCTGTGTGTAAGGGAGAGATGTGGTTTCTAGAACCGCCCCCCTGCCCCCGCCCCCAAGCCGTGGGCGTGGAATGGCCCGCAGGGAGGAGCGCGGGCTACAGAATCCGGAGACCTCTCTGTGGGTTCCGCCCACGCCCCTTCCCGAGACTGTGAGCTGCAGCAAGTCCCCCTGCTGCCCTTGGCTTCTATTTTTTTTTGTATAAAATAGGAATATTAACAGTTTCTTGAGTTGAGGGAACTAGAAACTGGCCATGGGTGATTTGTGTCCCCCAGTGTCCAGCACGGTCCAGGGAGCATCGCTCTGGCCCTGTTTCCAGAGATGGCTCCTGGGTCTGTGTTGATCTTACAGGCTCACCCCAGCGGGAGTCTGACCCTTGGGCCTCCCTGGCCTCTGGCCTCTACAAAGCTGAGGGCTGGGGTGGGGGAAGAGACAGGAGCAGCGTTTTGGGATTGCCGCTATGCCAGGGCTGAAATGGTGGCAGGGCAGGCTTGGAGCCATAAAGGACAAGGAATTTGTCTTTCGGTTTACAGCAGGTAGAACTGGCTTCCCACTGACAGTAGTGAATCTATTTTCCTTTTTAAGACGTTCAGTTATATTAGAAAAGTGAGTCCATTCAAGTGGTCAGTGATGATTGTGTGCAGGAGTGTGGTGTCCCTCTAGACACAAGTGCACAAGAGGCCCCCGGTGAGTACCCTCATCATAGCCTCTATCATTCTCAGGCCTTGTCGTATTGGTTAATTTCCCATCCAGGTGAGGCTCCCTCCCTCACTTTATTGCAGACCCACTCCAGCGTCCCCTCCTTAAAGAGGCCTCCGTTGCCCCATCTAAAGTGGACTGTTGTCTCCTCGCTCTTTTCTTCTCTTTGCAATGTTTAGGTCCCTCTGACAAGGTCTTGCTCATTTATTTAATTGTTTGTGTAGGATCCCTTTCCAGCCCAGGAACATGAGTGCCTGTTGCTGCTCTATGCCAAGACCTCAAACGGCCTGGGCTTGTAAAAGGTACTCAATAAATGGTTGAATGAGTGAATGGGTCTCCCCTTCAGGGGCTTCCATCACACTCCATAATAGATACTAACTCCCTCCCCCACGGCCCACAGGGCTCCCCCGGATGTGCCCCTGACTCTGCCTCCATGTTCCTCCCTCTGTTCTTCCCTTGCTCACAGCACCCAGCCAGGCTTCCAGAACTCACCAAACTCCTTCCCATTTTGCAGGCTTTGCCCTTGCACTTCTGCCTGGGGCCCTGTCCTCAGGTCTCTGCAGGGCTGTCTCCCCGCCCCCTTCCTGTGTGTCCAGTCACCTTTTAGGATAGTCTTTTCTGGCTGTTTCAGTTCCAGCTAACGTACCGTTGCCCCCACCTGCCCATCTTTTGGCAACTGTGTGCCGTCTTTTGCTGGACATCCAAATCCGGCCTCTGCTCCTTAAATGTGAGATTGTGGGCGACTTTCTAGAGCTGCCCGAGCCCCAGGCTGCTGGCTGTGACATGGAGGTGATGATGGCATCTACCTCATGGGCTATGGCAGGATTTTTAGTAAAAGTCACAAACGACATTGAACACTTACTGGGGCCAGGCACCCCAGTGCTTGCGGCGGGAACATTTTCTCTTTAGTTCTCAGAACTGCCCAGGTAAGTGGGAATGATCACTGTATTGATGTGGAATTGAGACACAGAGAAATGACGTGATGTCCTCCCCATGGCACACAGCTGGCAAGAGTCAGTCAGGAGTCTTGATTCAAACCTTGGGAGTCTGGCTCCAGAGCAAGATCTTTATCACTTTACCTCAGCGTGCGAAGCCCTCAGCCCGGGGCAGGCACACGGCAAGGACCAGGGAGGCTCAGCTGCTGCTGTTTTCATTGTTGGAATTGTCATCATGATCATTTTCCCTGTTCCTCTGATGTCCCAGAGCACTTGCCGTCTGCTCGCACAGTGCTCACAGGAAGGACTGTTCTCTCATCTCCAGTGGCTTCCCCCTTGGGAGGTTTTTCTCTCAGCCACAATTGGATTATGTCCAAAGGCTGCATCCACCTCTCCCTTGAGCCCAAACCTGAGCTCACCCCTCAGGAGGCCTTGGTGATTTCGGGCCTGGGTCTCTCTGCACCTTCACCAGCAACTAAGTGACAGGCTCTTATCTCATCCAACAGCACAAGGCCAGCACCACTACCTCTGTTTCACTTTCCAGGTGTTGGTGACCTTCAAGGATGTGGCAGTGACCTTTACCTGGGAAGAGTGGGGACAGCTTGACCTGGACCAGAGGACCCTGTACCGGGAGGTGATGCTAGAGACCTGCAGGCTCCTGGTCTCACTGGGTAAGGGCTCACCTGTCACTCCTGCGGGGGACCCCAGCCTCCTTGACTCCTGGCTGGTCAAGGAGGTCACAGGAGCCACCTTCCCTCCTCCCCACAGCCCCTGCAGTTTTCTGGTCCCAGCTCCTGCCTCTGGTCCCCTTCTCTGGTCTGCCTGTGTCTGTATCAGGGATCACTGGGACAGGAACAACATCCTTCTGAACACAAACCCGCACCCCGGCGCGCAGCACACTGGGGCCTCAGTCTGAGCTCCTTATTCCAGATTCCACAGAAGGAGCTGACTGGCCCAGCCAGGTTGGGTCAAGTGTCCCCACAGCCCAGTTGGCAGGGCCGTGGGTGAGGGGCTGTTCTCAGAAGAGAGGGTGAATCAGGCAGACCTCTAGGTGGCATTGGTCAGCAGTGCCCCTCAGGGAGCTTTCTGAACAATCTCGGTAAAAAGGCCCCTGGTGTCTATATGATCCTCACATGTTTTCTGTGGCCTGGGCCACGATCCCCCACTGGTATAGATGATTTTAGAGGGTGTACAGGGGTGTCATCTAATGCCATGGGTGGACACCCTGAGAAAGCTGATCCCTTTCCCCTCTCTGTCCGGCATGCTGATTACTGTCAAGAGAAAGTCTCAGATTCGTGCTGAGTCCTTCATGTCCCCCAGTTATGGCTAATTTTTCTCTTCAACAGGGAGCAGCCTCCAGCTCACAGCCCTGAGCAGGCCGAGTGAGCTCACTGGGACTTTAATGGCATTATTTTGATTTCGCTGTTGTGTTTTGATGGTAACCTTCTATTTGTGGGAAATGACGTTGACTTTCTCATTTACCAGAGCAAAACGGGGTTCCCTTTTAGAATAAAATATTTAGGAAAAATAAAAAGCGGGTCAGTTTACAATGGCACCCTATGTGTGCTCTGCAGAGCCATCACTCTGAGTTCAGTTGGGAAGGTAGACATCAATTCTTAGATGAATTGTGATGAGTTGTAGAAAGAAAAAATAAGATTATTTAGGAGTATATAACCAGGGGTCATAACTTATCATGGGTGCTTCGAAAAAGGCTCCTTAAGAAGTGACACTGGAGCTGAGACTTGAAGGCTGAGCAAGAGCAAGCTGGGAGGGGTGGTGGAGGAGGAGATCCAGATGGAGGAACCAGCAGGAGAAGAGGCCCTGAGGTGACAGGGAGCTCACCTCCTGGCAGAGCCAAAGGAATGTTTGAGTCACGTTTTCTCCTGCCCTCCTGGTGAACCTAGTGCCAGGCACATAGTACACATGGGGAACATTCCTGAGACATGTCTGCATGAATCCTGGGCTGTGGATCAGAATCTGTCAGTTGGGACTTCTGTGGGTCCTGGTATCTCAGTCACTGGACTTCTATACAGAACTCTCCTATCTTTTACTCCCCACATCCACTGAGATGTATTCAGCCGCCTGTAACAGAAGACCAGCTCAAACTGGCTTCCCCCGAAGGAACTTGACCACCTCACCTAATGAGAAGCCCCAAGGTGGTGGTGGATGCAGCAGTGCGGTTACATCATCAGTGATGTGAAGGTTCTCTCTGCTCTCCGTGGACTAGGCATCTGCCTTTTTCTCAGGCTGGCTCCCTCACGGGGACATACGATGCTGCAGCACTGACAGAGGCAGTAGGCCCCCTTGTTCAGCCCTCCCCTCCCACATGGGAATAAAAGCTTTCTCTTCAGAACAAGAATCCAGCTCAGGTTACCTGCCTACGTCAGATTACCAATGATCAAGGATGCCATTCGCCAGTTTATTTCCACCAATAGTTTTTGCTAGTAGTTTCTCTCTGGGCATCAGAATTCCCTGAGGAGATTTCAGAAATACTGATGCCGAGGCCTCACCCCAAGAAATTTTGTTTATTTTGGTTTAAGGTTGTGATCAGGAATCCCTAGGTGGTTCTGAAGCACACGGTGTTGAGAACCAGTGACTTAGATTAATTACAAAATGCCTGGAAGGAGGGCCTCCCCCTCCTGGTGTCCCATGGCTGTATGTGAAGTGGTGTGCACCTGAATAGTGTTGGCTTCCACTGATGAAGTTCAAGGGCAATGGTGGTGTGCAGACAGCACCACCCTCTGCAGCTGTTGCAGCCCAAGTGGGATTTGTGCTCTTGGTTTCCAGGTCACAAATCAGCATTTTCTTTACTTTGGGAGCAGATTTATTCATAGTCTTGTCCCTGTCATGAAACCCCAAATGGGATGGAAAGGTTTTATTCTTCTTATCAAAACACCTGTGTCCTGTTTCTTTCTCCATCGACAGGGCATCCAGTTCCCACACCAGAGTTGATCCACCTGCTGGAGCACAAGCAGGAGCTATGTACGGTGAGGAGAGGCCTCTCACATAGGCCCTGCCCAGGTAGGAGCCTTCAGACCCTGAGGGGACCACTGCTTCAGAACTCAGGAACCTCTTCATTGTGACCTCCTGGGGGTCTGGATGTTTCACTCTCCTATCAAGAGTGTGCACCAGCAGGTCAGCTCTGAACCAGGACCCAGGTGCCTTCTAATGTCAACAGGTAGCTTTAAGATTGCTCTGGCGTAACACAGCTGGCAGAGGGGAGATGAGACAGGAAGGGACAGAGTCACACTGGGTGCACACATACTCACTTCCACATAGTCCACTGACATGAACTAGGCGTTTGGCCCCACCTGGGAGCTCAAGACTGGGGATGTGGTTTAGCCGTGTACCCAAGAAGAAGGGCCGGTGGGCTTGGTTTATATCATCTCAGTCCTGCTGTACTCAGCCTACTCTCAGATAATCAGAGCAATAATAGTTTCTGTGATTGTTGTTTGAGGATGTAATGAGATAATGCAGCAGGCTGCTCAGTACAGTGCCTGGCTTATAGTAAGGATCGACAAAACTCAGCTTAGTGGTATCCAGGTAATTAATTATAATGAATGATAGTAATATCACACATTTCCTTCTGGACTGAGGAAAGGGCATCTTTCCTCCCCTTGAAGTTACTATCTGCACTGTACTCTCTATCCCTCTTTCCCGCCTTCTCCATCCGTTTCTCCATCCTCCTGTTTGTCCATCAGACACTCAAGGGTAGCCCCTTGCACTGTATCTTCTTGCCCCTGCTGCCCTGAAAAACGCCAAGGTAACATTTGGCCTTTTCTGCCCACGTCCATGCTGCTGAGTGTAGCTGGAGCCAACCACCTAGTGGATTGGATCACCAGAGTCCCAGGCTCTCCTCTCTGCAGGTCCTTCTCACTTCTCAGCCAGCCTGGGAGTGTCTTTGGGCAGCCCCACTGCCAACCCTCTGTTCCAAATGCCACCCCCCTACCCCCAATCTCTTGGCTCCACTTAAATGCCTTAGAGGAACCTTGAGCTCATCAGGCCTTAGAAGACACTTGTGATGCCCACTCCTCCCATCCTCAGTTCAGAGAATGTCCTGCCATCCAAGCAGGTTAGAAGACTGGAAACCGCTCAGACAGCACCTCAGCACCTGTGCTTCCATCAAACCCAACATCCATCCATCTCAAGCCCTCTCATTTGACATTCTCTGTGTCTCCTGAAACCATCACCTCCCCCACTTTCATTGGCTCATCACCAACACTCTAGTCCAAGCTCTCATCAAAGGATGAGATGAGGGGCCAGCCCTGTGGCGTAGTAGTTAAGTCTGGTGCGCTCCACTTTGGTGGCCTGGGTACACAGGTTCACGGACATACACTCATCAAGCCATGCTGTGGTGGCAACCCACATATAAAATAGAGGAAGACTGGCATGGATGTTAGCTCAGGGCGAATCTTCCTCAAGGGAAAAAAAGAAGAGAAGATTGGCAACAGATGTTAGCTCAGAGTGAATCCCTCTCACAAAAAAAAAACGGTGAGATGATGCCAGAGACTCCCACCAGGTCTTTCCACATCTCTTCCGTGCCTCTGGTCAGCTCTTTTTTATGAACCAGCTTCTGCAGCCACTCAGACATGTTTCAGATTGTCACCACTTCCTCAGTCACTGTATCTCAGCATGTAATCAGCTTCACATTAAAAATAGTCTACGGGGGCTGGGCCTGTGGCATAGCGGTTAAGTGCTCACGCTCCGCTGCTGGCGGCCCGGGTTCAGACCTCAGGTGCGCACCGATGCACCAGTTGTCAGGCCACACTGTGGCGGCATCCCACATAAAGTAGAGGAAGATGGGCACGGATGTTAGCTCAGGGCCAGTCTTCCTCAGCAAAAAGAGGAGGATTGGCGTGAATGTTAGCTCAGGGCTGATCTTCCTCACACACAAAAAAAATAAAGTCTACATACTTTTGCTTCTTGCTCCTGAACCCTTCAAGACTCATCCACGTCTGTCCCACACCTCTGGCTTCCCTTCTTGTCCTCTGTGGAAGATATCTTACCTCTCATCATGGCCAGTGCCTCCACCAGGGCCTACTTCATAGCTTCTGCCCTATCAGGGAACTTGCTTCCTCACTTATTTTCTGCGTATCTTCATCTTTTCTCTACTCAACCTAAAAATGGGCTCCAGTTGCTTACACTTGGGAAAAATAACAAAACCACAAATGCTTTTAGATCTGTCATAGCCCATGACTAGTGTAGACTCTACTTATAAAACTGAGTTCCTTGAAGGAGTTGTCTCATTTTGGGAAAAGATGCATACACCCGAATTCCATACCTATTGTTTAAAATCTCCTTAATTCTTTTTTATATCAGAAATATACAATGATATGGACAAATCTTAAGGGTTCAGCTTAAATATTTACATATGTATAAACTGAAATATCCTCCACCCCAGTCAAGATTTAGAATATTTCCAGGACCTGGGGCCAGCCTCGTGGGATAGTGGTTAAATTTGGCACACTCTGCTTCGGCAGCCTGTGTTCAGTTCTTGGGCGCTGACCTACACCACTTGTCGGTGGCCATGCTGTGACGACAACCCACGTACAAAATAGAGGAAGACTGGCACAGATGTTAGCTCAGGGTGAATCTTCCTCAGCAAAAAATAAAAAAAGAATATTTCCAGGACCTTGGCAGGCTCCTGGTGCCCCATCCTTTTTCGAGAGTGAGGTGTGCCTTGAACAACAGAATTTATTTTCTCACTCTTCTGGAAGCTGGAAGTCCAAGATCAAGGTGCTAGAAGAACTGGTTTCTACCAAGGCCTCTCTGCTTGGCTTGTAGAACAAGATGGCAGCTTCTTACTGATGTCATTGCTGTCATCCTAATAGCCCAGTGCAACAATGAGAATAATAACATATTAGTCAGGGGTCACCAGAGAATCAGAACCAACAGGATATATTTGTACATATTTATTTATTTTAAGGAAGTGGCTCATGCGATTGTGAGGGCAGTGATTTCAACATCTGCAAGGCCAGCCAGTAAGCTAGAGGAGTTGATGTTACAGCCTTGAGTTTGAAGACAGTCTGGAGGCAGAATTCCTTCCATTCCAGGGATGTCAGTCTTTGACCCACAATTTAGTAAACACGCTGCATCAAGAACCCTGCCGAATGCTTTACAGGCATTTTCTCTTTTAACCCTCATGACACCCTGAGAAACTGAGCATCTCCTAGTCTCTCAGATGAGGAAGTTACGACTTGAAGAAGGTAATCCACCCAAGATCAGCTCACCTGACAGAGGCAGAGATGGAACCAAGGCATTCTGGCTCCAGACCCTAAGTCTGAACCACCATGCTGATGCCTCTCCACAGAGCAGAACCTTGTCTTGTGCTGTTGGGCCCTGTGTCCCTCTGTCCCTCCTCCTCTGTGATCTTCATCCCCTTCCTCTACTGCAAACACCTCTTCAATGTGGGCTTCACCAGGCATCGGCTGTTTCTTCCTTTAGCTCTTAAGCGCTCTCCAAGGGTGAATCCGCCCATACTTACTCCTTATATTTCAAGCCAGCCCTATTCTCTCTCTTCCTGTTTCTGGCAAATCTGACTTCTCCATTAGGACCCAGCTCATGGGACACCTCCTCCTCTGGGAACATGACCTCTTTTTCTTCCCAGTCTTGTCAGGTGCTCTTCCTTATACTCTCATAGCACCAAGACATCAGTTCTTGGAGCAAATGACCCACAGACAGTGTAATTAAAAATGCCCTCTCTCCCCTACTCTGGACTGTGAGGAGAGCTCTCCACTCTACATCCATGTCCCCTGGTTTTCCCTCCAGGTTTTCCCTTTAATGGTATCAAGGGTACAAGGACCATAAAAAGTAATTGGAAACTAAGTGTTGCTTTTGTTTCTCCTATATTTACATCACTGAAAGTCCCCCTTTGTGTATTGGATTCTCTTCAGGTGACAGAGCAAAACTTCAGACCAGAGAGCCAAGCTCTTCTCAGTCCATTTTGTCTGAGGGAGCCTTGCTCCAGAGAAGCCTGACTCAGGGATCTTCAAGGGACTCCAGCTTGGGACAAGCCAGGGACCAGGAAGGGCTTCTGGAAATGCAGAGAGATCAATGGAGGCCAGAGACAGACCCCCACAAGGAGACCCATCCTGGGGAAACACGCCTTGAAGATGATGGTTTGGGAACACATGATAGTCTGTGCTCCAGGGTGTTACAGGAGAAAGTTCCTCAGGGAGATGTCCTCCATGAATGTGACGCACAGGGACCAGAAAAAGGCCCCATGATTCATGCTGGAAGTAACCTCTACAAATGCAAGCAATGCGGGAAAGGTTTTAACAGGAAGTGGTACCTTGTTCGACATCAGCGAGTTCACACTGGCATGAAGCCCTATGAATGCAATGCATGTGGGAAAGCCTTTAGCCAGAGCTCAACCCTCATTCGGCATTACCTCATTCACACGGGGGAGACACCATACAAGTGCATGGAGTGTGGGAAGGCCTTCAAACGCAGGTCCTACCTCCTGCAGCACCATCCGATTCACACTGGGGAGAAGCCCTACGAGTGCAGTCAGTGTGGAAGGGCCTTCACCCACCGCTCTACTTTCATTCGCCACAGTAGGACCCACACTGGAGAAAAACCCTTTGAGTGCAAAGAATGTGAGAAATCATTTAGCAATAGAGCACACCTAATTCAACACTCCATCATCCACACTGGAGTGAAGCCCTATGAGTGCAGTGAGTGTAGAAAGGCCTTCAGATGCAGCTCAGAACTCGTGCAGCATCAGCGGATTCACACTGGGGAGAAGCCCTATGAGTGCACTCAGTGTGGGAAAGCCTTTCACCGGAGCACGTACCTCCTTCAGCACTCTGTCATCCACACTGGGGAGACACCATACAAATGCCTCGCGTGTGGGAAGGCCTTCAAACGTAGGTCACACCTCCTGCAGCACCAGCGGGTTCACACTTGAGAGACCCAGTGAGTGCCCTGAATGTGGAAAGGCCTTCACCCACTGATCCTCTTGTCTTTCAGAAGGGGATCCACACTAGAGGAAAAAATACGTTCTGTGCAAAGAATGTTGGAAAGTGTTTTTTCTCAGCTCTTCAGACACCTGAGTAGTCACATTGGAGAGAAGCCCTGTGAATGCAGTGAATGTAAGGAAGCCTTCAGCCACTGCTCGGCCCTCATCGCAGGGTTTGTACCAGAAAGAAATGCGAGAAGCTGTGTCACCAGTGGGTCCACCTCCGTCAACGTCAGAGAACATACTGGGGAAAGACATTCTGAATATAACTATTGAGGACAGTCTGTAGCCAGAAGAAAAAAATCTTACCTGCCGTCTGAGAATTCATAATGAAGAGGAACACAATTGTCATGGCTGTGAGAAAAACATTCTGTCACAGGTCACCTCTTGTCATGTAGAGCCATATCAGGATTCAAAATAGCTTGGACTTTCCCATACCTGTGAGAAAGCATGCAGGAGGCAGGTCTTCCCCTTGGTTTACACTTAGAAAACCATCTCAGCATTATTTCAAAAAGAAAAAGATAAAGGAGGAGTAGAGGATGGAGATGGAGACTATAAAAGGAAAAGACAAACGCCTTCACAAACCCTTTTAGACTCCCTGCCAGGCCTCTTGCAGTTTTTCATCAGTTTTATTTTTTGGTGTGGAATGTTTGAGAGATAAAGGATCTCAGCCCTTTTACTTGTTTTTTGTATGTGTTCACTGCTGTCCTGTCAGGGAAGCTGGACAGTGAGGGCTGCTCTACAGACGTTTGTGGGGAGCTGTTGTTCCAGATGTCTCCACCCATGAGGAGCATAATTCTTTGTGGGAAATGAGAACACTTGAGTCATGAGATACTTCAACTTATTAGAAGTTAGAAAACTGAAATAACATCACATGACACTTATTTCCTATTTTATGTCTAAGGAGACAAGGATCCACATGCGGATCACCCTGGTAAAATAGGCACCCACTACGACAGTTTAAGGCTTTGAATTTTAGACATAGACTCTGTTCGTGTAGTATTAAATGCCCAACACTCTCTCACTTTTTCTGGATTCCATTCTACTTGTTTTCTTTTTTTTCTCAGCATGGTGATTATCTTGTACTCATGTGGCTTTAGGTGAGTCCTAGTTCTTTCCTCTTCCTGGTGTTTCTCAGGTTCTTTAGTCCTGTTTGGAGGACCGGGTATTTCCAGGTCCCCTTTGCAGTTTTTTAGGGGTTGAATTATAGCTAAAACCAGTAAAATGAAACACACAGCTGAGATAAATTGATAATAAACTCAGAAAAACAAACATGGAGGATTCTCATTGATCTTAGACCCATTTGTGTGAAGTTTTCTTACAAAATAAAGTGCCAGGGATTTTAGCAGGAGAATCCCGGTGTATACATGTGGGTGTCAGGTTTGTGTGGGTTACACACTTGCCACCATAGACTTATTCTTTTGGTGCTGGCATTGGATGTGGTCATTTGAAATGCATCCTGTTGGATTTTCTTTCAGACTAGTTGTCAAGCTATGGAAGATAATCAATGTTAGGTGAAAAAATTTACTGTACAGAAAAATATAAAATTATCATTTCCTCACTTCCTCAGAGCCTTTTAAAAGACTATACACAAGCTTCACATTTTCAGAGTGGGCATTCGCCATTTTTGTGGTACACATAGTATGACTGCACATCTCAATGAGTTAATAACTATTTTTTGTTTTCAGGATAGTGTGCATAGTTTTCTGTTCTTTGGGAAAGAGAGTTGACTCTTGAAGACCACACCCTCCTTCACCCTCTCTCTGGAGGGTGGTATGTATTGTTGCTGTAGCTGTACTTGTCGCTGAGCCACTGGGTTCAAGAGAGTTGGAGAGTGGGGCCAGCCCTGTGGCTTAGCAGTTAAGTGCGTGCACTCCGCTACTGGAGGCCCGGGTTGGGATCCTGGGCGCGCACCGATGCACCGCCTCTCCAGCCATGTTGAGGCAGCGTCCCACATACAGCAACTAGAAGGGTATGCAACTATGACATGCAGCTATCTACTGGGGCTTTGGGGAAAAGGAGGAGGATTGGCAATAGATGTTAGATCAGAGCCGGTCTTCCTCAGCAAAAAGAGGAGGATTGGCATGGATGTTAGCTCAGGGCTGATCTTCCTCATAAAAAAAAAAGAGAGAGAGAGAGTTGGAGAAACCTAGCCTCTAGAAACAGCTTGGCTTTCATCAAAGGGTTCTTCTTTCCATGCCTGGACCCTGGGCTCCAGTTTGTCCCAAAGCAGGAGTGATGTGTTTTCCACTGAATGAAGGAAACCCTAGGGTTTGTTCCCTTAACTTCCAGCACTTTCCTTACAGTCTTCAATTATGTGTTCAGTGCGAGGACCTACTATATATTTGCTGCTGTGATTGGCAGATCTCCTGAGACCTCCATCCTTTATCTGCGTGAACATTCACTGTGCTGTGGGCACGCTGTGGACAGGGAGGCACTTGTGTGACTGAGATACGGGTCCTGCCCTTGGGCAGGGAGAGAGTTCCCTGTCTAGTACAGGTCAGCAGAGTACACTGAAATCTAGAGAGAGAGAAGGAAACTGAGCACATGGCTTTGCTGGATTCTTAATCACCTTGAAGATTTTTGTCTCCAAAATAGGATTCTTTCCCATTCTTGAGAGCATTCAGGGCACTGAACCTGAAGGGAGGGCAGTGAGTAAAATTAGGATGAGTAGCAGAGTGGTACAAATGGAGAAGAAAGTTAAGGTGACATTTACTCAGTGCTCCAAGAAATAATTTATTGCCTATTGTATGTGGGTCCAGTCTATAGGCTTTAATAGGTCTATGAGATGCACATGCACAAAACATAAAAATGATTTTCCGCACAGAGAACTTACATTTTGGTTGAAGGAAACAATCAATTAACAACATACCTAAGTTAAGTTACACAGTATGTCAGAAGGTGATGGGTTCTATGGAGAAGAGAAGAGAGCCAGACATGGGTGAGGAAACACATGGCAGCAGGGATGAGTTACAATGTTAACAGACTGCAGATTAGGACTGACAGGGACAATGCTATTCTACCACATATTTTAGAGGTGGCAGAAGACATTTTATTTATTCCTTTCTAATGCATGTATGTATATATATTTTCTCATCATATAACACTCAATAGTCCATGTGAAGTAATGTTGAAGGACAGAGGAGATACCAGTTTTTCTTTTGTCCCTGATCTTGGTGGAAACATTTAATAACAGATCATATGTATGGCATGTGTTGCAGAATTTTTTGGAAGATTCTTTTTAGATGTTCAGGGAAAATTAATTCTGTACTTTGTTAAAAAAAAAAAAGAATGAGTGATTTAGCATCCAATTTTATGCATTTTATGAGTTGAATATATGATACATATTTTCTATGAAGTGGTGAAACATATTGATTTTGCATTTTTAGACTTTTCATATAGTTTCAAACTTACAGAAAAGTTGAAAGAATAGTACAAGATATTCTTGTGTAAATTTTATCCAGATTTAACAGTTGTTTGTTTTGCACCTTTTCCTTGATCATTCTCTCAATCTCCCCACATACAGGTGATGTCTTTACTAGCATGAAGACACACTAGAAAGGAATGGTAAAGAAAGAGTGTGGTGTCTAATAGTCTATGTAGCAGCAGCTGCTACGTTTTGCTTGCCAATCTGTCACACATTCGGTTGGTAAGGAAACCACAGCCCAAACAGGTTGAGAAAGATTATTACTTAGAATGTCAGCAAACATAGTGTCAGCTCCCTGCTATGCCTGTCACAAAGGACGACACCAAACCAAAAGCGCCAGATGACAGGCAACATGTGCGGTGGGACTCTGTTGCTGAGGAGCCTCTTCAAGCCTGGATCTGAGTGGTTTTATATTCTGCAGATGGATCCTAAGGATGGAGGAGTTAAGTGGAAATCCCGACAACTCACAGGAACCAGGGAGGTAGTGAAACTCTCATACACTGTTGGTAGGAAATATAAAAAGAAATAACCATTTCAGATCAGTTTGACAGTTTCTTAAAAAGCTAAATATTCACCTACCCTATGACTCAAGCATTGCACTCAGAGGAATTAACATGAGAAAGGAAAGATATCTGTATAAAGATTTATACGTGAATGTTCATAGCAGCTTTACTTGCAATAGCCCCAAAATGGAAACAACCCAAATGTCCACAAAAAGAGGAATGAAACAACAAATAGTGGTACATCCAAACAACACAATACTACTCACTGATAAGAATAATGAACTATTTTGATGAATCTCAAAATAATTATGCAGCATAAAAGAAAGAAGAAAGAGAGTCAATACTTTATGATACCTATCATATAACATTCTAGAAAATGTAATCTATTGTAAAGGAAAGTAAATCCAAGTTTGCCCAGATAGCAGGAGAGGGCAGGGAGAGAGAGAATTAAAAAGTACAAGGTGAAGATGGTGGGGACTTGTATGTTTAGTATCAGTTATGATGGCCTCATGGATTATACTGTATAAGACTTACCACACTGTATACTTTAAATATGTGCATGTCATTATACCTTAAAGCTTTACATAATGGTTCAAAATAAAAATATGGGTCTCCCACTCTTGTCTCTACCATCTCCTAGTTCTTTGGGAGGGAGGCCTTGCCTCAGTGATAGCAAATATTGGTGACTCACGAAGGCTGTTTCCACCTTAGTCACAAAGGCCACATCGCTGGACTGAGATCTCCCTTCTCTCTATCCTTGTTTTCCTGCAAGTGCAGCAATGGTCTTAAAGTGAACATCCCAGAGCAGCTACAGGGATCCACAAAACCTTTATTTTCCTCTGCCAATGACCCCAGCTACTCAACATATAAAGGCCTGGAGGTACATGCTCCACTCACACAGCCAGAGTCACTGGAACAGCTGTGGATGCACTTCTAGTTTGCTGCAGTCTCCACCACTCCCTGTTATTCCAGTGTTTCTGTACCAAGTACGCTTACCCTAGGCCCTGTAGTTTTAAAACCAGTGACACTACTCTACTGAATTCTGGACATCAGGACACAGGGCTCCTTTGTAGCATCTGGGGAAGAGATTCCCCTTAAAAATGTGGTCATTACGTGATATTCTCTGTGAGCAAGGAACCAGTCCCAGAGGCACTGGAGATCGACACAGGGGCCCTCTACTCAATGTGACCTGTGGGCCCACAGAAAAATCCTGGCATCCAGGCTGCAAATTAGTTGCACAAAGCCTGCAGTCTTTCCTTGGAAGCCTTGGGAAACAATGCAAACTATACTGGAGAGCTATTCTCTGCCATCATACTGTCCCTTCTGAGGCAAAGTTGGGAACACCCATGCAAGCTGTTCACCCCTTCATCATGTTTTCAAAGCAACCCCTCAGTGAATACAACCCCCTAGGTTAACAGTGGCTTCAACAACATGGCATTTATTACTGCACAAACCATAGCAAGGTGAGGCAGGCAGTTCATAGACTGGTGACATGGAGACTGGAAAAATCCATCACGAGTGTCACATGAAAGCAACAATATCCATGAAGGTGAACCTTCTCTGCAAGCCACCAGCAGAAGCCGGATATGGTCCTTTAGAACAAAACTGGGTCAGGTATGTGCCCTCAGTAGAGAGAAGGGAACTAGGTCCTGCTAAAGTCTGAGGCCGCTCATTTTCTCTAGAGAAACCAGAGATCTTCCCTGAATGGTGGTATGACTGAGGCACACCATGGGGACCTATCAGGTAGTACAGCTGACATGACTTGTGCCACAGAAACGCAGTGACGTACTTTTGGCAACAGCCCCCAGCAGATTAGGAAGTGCAATACAGCTCCTGCAAGCTTCCCACATACCTGGAACTTAAGGGGAATCTCCCCACTGTGTATACGCAGATGCATGAGTTCAACTTCAGGAAGAAATCTCCCTCACACAGGCTTTCCTCCAGCGTCATTATACTGAACATTCCCTGCACATCTATGGCTTTGCTTTGTGTGAACTTGCTGGTGCCCAATGAGGTGAGACCTTCGGCTGAAGTCTTTCCCACGTTCAGTGCAGTCATGAGGTCTTTCTAGAGCATGGACTTTTTTGTGTCAAATGAGGTTACACCTTTTGCTAAAGGCCTTCCGGCATTCACTTCACTCTTAAAGCCTATCTGTCTTGTGAAGTTTCTGGTGCTGAATTGGAGAAGACCATTGACTGAAGACTTTCTTGCATTTGATGCAGATATACAGACTACCTGTGTGGTTGTGAATTTTCTGGCGTCAGATGAGATTAGACCTTTAGCTGAAAACCTCCTCCTATTTGTTGCACTCATGAGACGTTTCTCTGATGTGAACTTTTTGGTGTTGAGCAAACTGGGTGTTATCCCTAAAGAATTCCTCACATTCTCTGCACTTATCAGGACTTGCTCCAGTGTGACCTCTTTTGTGTTGAATGAGGTCAGAGTTTCAGGTAACGGATTTCCCACATACCCTGCACTCGTAAGGTCTTGCCCCAGTGTGAACTCTCTGGTGTTGAATGAGGCCAGATCTTTGGCTCAAAATTTTCCCACAATCCCTGCACTCATAAGGACTTTGTCTAGTGTGAACTCTATGATGCTGAATCAGGCTGCAGGTGTCGCCAAAGGATTTTCCACATTCACTGCATTCATAAGGCTTTGCCCCAGTGTGAATGCCCCTGGTGTTGAATGAAGCTAGAGGTGTGGGTGAAGAATCTTCCACACTCATTGCATTTGTAAGGCCATTCTCCAGTGTGCACTTTCTGATGCTGAAAGAGGTTAAATCTTCAAGTGTAGGCTTTCCCACATTCACTGCACTTGTAAGACCTTTCTCCAGTGTAGACACTCTAGTGCTGAACAAGAGCGTACTTGCGCTAAATGCTTTCTTGCATTCACACCAACTGGAATGACTCTTCCCTCTATTAACGGCTTTCCCACACGTGGTGCAACTGTGTGGTTTCTGCCCATTGTGAATGGCCTGGTCCTGGTGAAGGCCCAACCTGGTTGGGAAGTCCCTGTCAACCCTGCACAGGAAAAGAACTTCCCCAACACATGGAATCTGCAGCTCTTCACAAATAAGGCCTTTTGCATGTCTCTTTTCAAGGGTTTCTCTCCTTGGGGGCATTAGTTCACACACTCTCCCACATGCACATCATTCTTTAGACTACAACTCTTTACATCTCTGGAGACCACAGGTGCACTCCACCCACCCACATGGCCCACAATATAGGCATCTCCCTAGACTTGCCCCATGTTACTTGGCACATGACTTGCTTGGCAAACTCAAACAGGATTCAATATTACCCAGACCTCCAATGGCTCCCACTGGCAGGGACAAATCCTGCTATGAAGCAAATAGCAAATCCTGCTATGAAGACCTCCCTTTCACAGGGAGAAAGCTGGCTGTTCTTTGCTTCAAACTCAGCCCCCCAGAACTACACGCACACCCAGATATCCCTGGTCCTCTTCAACTTCTGTGCTGCCTGCCCTGTCCCCTCACCTGTCACAAGCTTTCCTTCTCCATCTAAACCTCATTCAAAGCCCAGCCCCAATTGTCCCCTACCCCAGGCCTAATGACTCCCACAGAGATGACCTACCAGCCTGACTGAAATATCTCAGACCCCACCCAAGGGTCACCAAAAAATCCTGGTGAGTCCACAGAGTGGTAAAAAAGCACCAGGTCCAGCCTTAGTGTCATCTTGCCTCAATAACTCCTATGCCCCCATATCCCTCTCATGTCCACTTTTCCCTTAGAAAGCTTGGCCACCCACTAGATCATCCTCTTGCCCACAGCTTTCCCAAGGCCACTTTTCTCCCTCACCTGTGTATGCAACACCCTCTACCTTTAACCATGTGCCCAAGCAAGAGGCTCAGTTCTTGGCCAGCACCATCTTCTTGGATTGCTAACAGCATTACCACTGTGATCTGAAGAATCCCCCTCCTAAATGTGACCCATAGGCCTACCCCAGTCAACACAGCAGCCAGAACCTTTGGGATGGCTGCATCATGAAACCTCCACAACTTGTGTATCTAACCACCCACTTGATGCCTCTACTCAGTGGTCTCTCAAACATCTAAGACTCTTAACATGGCTACAACAAACCTCCTGGTATCTCCACTGAAAATTGTTCCTACCGTTGACTATCCCATCTCAGTTGATGGAGTTTCCATCCTTCCAGCTGTTAAGACCAAAAACCTTGTGGGTCATCCCTAAGTCCTCCCTTTCTCTCCCTCATCCTCCACTATCAGAGTGTCTGGTTAACCCTAATTTGAAAAAAAAAAAAAAAAAAGAATCCTTATAGCAGCATCCAGGCCTCTAAAAAAATTTTTAAAAATAAATCCAGAATTGAACTGCTTCGTCCACCTATACGGCCACCATTTACATCCATCAACACTCACTTGGCCTATTTCAACAGCTTCCTCCCTGGTCATCCTTCCCCCTCCCTTAGCCCAGTCTCTTCTCCATGGTGCAGCCAGATGGAGCCTGTTAAGTTGGTAAGATCACCTCACTACTCTTCACCAAACCTCCCATCACCTCCAGAATAGACACCTGACCACAATGGAAGCCAGTCCACTCCTGCCTCCTGCTCCCCTGTTCCCATGAGAAAGAAAAGAAACCTGCAGGTCCCTGGACATTCTCAGCTAAACCACACCTCCAAGCATTTACACACAGTGGTACCTGTTCCTGGGATAACTTTCCACATCTCTTTCCACTGGATGCCAGAAGCAAGAACGCCTCTGTATAACCCTCTGGCTGGGCTCAGGACCCTGGGCTTGGGGTTTCTCCAGGGTCCTCTAGGTCCAAAAGCTGGGAAAATGGCAGGCAGAGTCCCAGGAAGACCCAGGACTCCCCCAGGAAGTCCCAGAGACCATATGGGTGGGGTCAGGACCAGTAAGGAACTTGAGATTCACTCACTTGAGCCTCCACTCACCTGTGTTGGCTTCATAAGCACTTCTTGAGCCATAGGAACCTGTGGGAAGAGGCGGGCCATAGACGGATGCGACCACTGCGGGCTCCTTGGGCTCAGGGCTCCCCTGTATCCTTGCCTAGTCCTGGAGCCACGTGACCTCCACTGACACTCTAATCTCTGAGGTGCCTCAGTGATGACTAACCAGCTGTGTGACCTTGCACAAGAACTCAACCTCCCTGTGTCTCACTGTCCTCCTCAACCCCCTGCCAGTCTGTTCTTCCTCTGAACAATCTTTGGGAAACAACTAACACCTTAACTCAGATTGTGTCCTTCTTCGCTTCAAAACCCTCCATGACTCCCGGGGTCCTCAGAATGAAGACACATCTCCTCAACCTGCCAGTCCAGTCGAGACTCCCCATCACACTCTGTTTACTCCACACAGAACGCGGACCCCAGGTCCCCGACTCCTCCCGGCTCAGTCGCCCTCCACGCCTCTCCCCCGCGGGCCCTCCCCTGGGACCCTCTCCCACACCCGTCACCCCGGCTCTCAACAACAGGCCCCACGAGCGCCTCCCCGTCCCGGACACCGGGGCCTGGGCTGCAGGCCCGTGAGCGGCGCCCGCACTCGGGGCTCTAGGGCTGGGCTGGGCTGAGGGCGGGGAGGGCGCGGAGCACGAGCACTGACCTGAGCCGGCTCCCTCCGCGCGGCCGCCGCCATCGGACTCCGGGGGCGGAGCGGGGCCGGGAGCGGCGAGAGAGGAGGGGACGCGGGGACAGCGGTCCCTGTCCCAGCCCTGGCGCGGGTCCTCCAGGCGGCGTCGCCGAGCCTCAGACACGCCCTGTGCAGCGAGGACAGCGCCTCCCTCGCGCCTCCTCGGTCCCGTCACCTCAGCCCCGACCCAGCGCTCCAGAGCCGGAGGTAAACCCACCAGCGAGCGGCCAAAAGGACCGCGGCGACAACAACGCCGGAAGTCCCGCCCAGTGTGACGCTTCCCAGTGGGAAGCGCCCCTCTCTTGGGCTCTTATTGGCTCAGCTCCTCCGCGCGGGGCGTCGCAGGCTGGGTACCGTAGTTCCCACAGCTCCGTAGGCTCAGCAAAGTGGGCCCCTCTCCTACCTCCTGGGCGGAAGTCAAGGGACACCACGAGGGTCGCTGGGAAATGGCATCCCAAGCATCCAAAGGCAGGGCAGGGGCTCCCTCTTTCTTAAAGGCCTGCACCCATATTTCTGGGTGCGTTGTCGTGACTGATCAGCAAAGTGTTTAGAGACATGTTATTTCTGACCCTATGAAGGTCAGCTTGCTTCCAAAGTCTAAAAATATTATTTCAGATGCCCCCAAACGCTACAGATCCAAAAGCACGTCAGTCCATAGAGTCATTGAGTACAAAATGCGTCCACTCTGTAGATGGAAGCTAATACACATTATGTTTTTATTTTTCAAATGCGTATACCCTGAAGCATTAGAGACAGTTTTGTTAGTTTCAGAATTTTGTGTCAGGGACAGGAGAGAAAATTCTCCAGATAGGGTCATGGCAATGACAATAGAAGACAGATATATTTTGACCACTCTGAAGCAGGTGTACAGTGTGAGACACTATCTCTTGTTCTCTCTGAAAATATCTTTTGTTGGAAGGCGTCAGTGATTGTGTCCAACCCAGTGCACAAGACTGTTAACTATATAATTTTTTTACTCCATATCCTGAGATATTCATTTCCTTTCATGAATCTGACAACTGTCTGTAAGAACCACTTACCGAATGCGACTTTGGGACAGGACAGTGTCTTAAATATTTACAATTGGAGCAGGTGTACAAAAGGGACATCTAAAATCCAAGATAAAGTTTTGGGACATCAAGATCTCATCTCTTTGATGGGAAGTAATTATCATTCCTACTCTTATTGCAGGGACAGTGTCTGCATGGGAAATTGAGATTATCTCAGAAAAATAGTTGTGAAATGACAATTACTAAATGTTACTAATAAAGAGAAAGTAATTATTCAAAGATGGTGGCAGGAATAGTTCTTGGGAAACATCAGTGAAGGGTTAACAAAGTTCCAATCTCAGAGAAGTTTGGGCAGGAGAGACTGAAGTGTGGGAAGGATTAAGCTCAGCACAGTGACTATGTTGAAACTCTGGCTACTCAGAAAGTTTTGTGTTCAAAATTAAATTAGTTCTTCATGAATATATTGAGCAATGTTAGCTTGCAGGGAGACCTGAAAGGGATATTTAGACAAGCCAGAATAGTAAAAAGTGGTCAGGGAATCCATGGTCTCATGTTTATTCCATGTTCTAACAAATGTTCAATGAGCTCCTACTGGGTTTCAGCCGCTGTTGTTGGTATATGGGACAATTCAGGAAACAAGAGAGACAAAGACTCCTGTCCTCATTGGGCTTAAACTATGTTCAAGGAAAACAGACAGGAAAAATGAAAGAAGAAACACTAAATTATATGGTACATTAGAATGCCCAGGAGTCAAGGGGTGGAAATCGCACCTCTGTTGATATGGTAGTGGCACAACTCAATCCTAAACCCTGTGACCTACTAAAAAAATTTGTGCTTCCTATTCTCCTGTTGTTCTAATTGTATCAATAAACCTAATAAGGGAGAGAAGGGGGAAGAGTAGAAAGGAATGGAAGTTGAATTGAGGAAGGAGCTGGGTAAATGTTTAAATTGAAAGAAGCGGGGAAAGTGCACCTGGGTGTGAATACAACATTCTGGGTAGGAATAACTACTTTGTGCAGGTGATAACTAAGTTGAGACTGGAAAAATTAGGAAGAACCACTCATGTAGAGAGCCAGGTGAAAATAGTCCAACCAGAACGTAGAGAAATTGCCAAAAAGATGAGGTGAGGAAAAGCCTGGTGAGGTGGAAGAACAGGAAGGAGGCCAAGTAGCCAGAACAGGGCATGGGGGGTGGGAGAGGAGGAATATGAGGAGCACATTCGTGAGCCACATGCTCAGATCTCTGATCTCACCTCTTTTCCATCTACACTCACTACCCAGGGGAACCTCAACCAGTCTCAGGTCTGATGATATTCTGTCTTTATGACTCCAAGGTTTACATCTGCAGAGGACACTTCCTTCAGGAAGTGACCCATACATCTATCCACTTACTCAGCATGTCCAGCTGGATTGGATCTACTGTCCCCAGTAGTCACTATCTTGGTTTGTGGCAGCTCCATCATTCTAGTTCCTCAGAACACCAACCTGGAGGTCACCCTTGACCACTTTCTCTCTTGTCCCTCACAGCATTCATGATCAAAGTGTGTGCTCCTTTGAAAGGACAAAAAAATCTGTATCTCCCAACTGAATATGCTAATAACATAGATCCAGCTGCCATCACTTCACACTTGATTTCTTGTAGTTGTGTCTAAATGATCTCCTTACTTTTTTCCTTGTTCTCCTGGGGTCTAATCTTTCAACAGCAGCCACAATGACTCCAATCTTTCCCAAGTAAAATCATGTCACATGCCTTTCCAAGCCTTTCAGTGCATTCCTTTTTACAAAGTAAAACCTCAGTTCTTACAATAGGTTTAAAAGACACACATGACCATGTCTTGGTCCAACTCTATGAACTTTTCTCCTACAGAGTATGCTTGTTGTCCATTCTCTTCAAGTCACTGGCCAAATACCATTACTAGAATGTTCTTTCATGACTACCTTGTTTAAATTAACAATAGCCATTTAGTTGACTTTTTTCATTTTTAATTGAGTTATAATTTATATATTGTAAAAATATACCCTTTTCTTTGTATTGTTCTGTGGGTTTTGACAGCATATACAGTTATATAATTACTACCAAAATCAGTACATTGAATAGTCTGATCACACCAAAAACTTCTGGGATCCTCTGTACCACTTCTTATCCATGGACTCTGGAAACTGTATGTGATCTCTGTGTTTAAAATTTTGGAGACTTACTTTTCCAGAGAGTCACATAAGTGAGATCAAACAGCCCACAGCCATCGAGGCTAGCTCCTTTCACTTAGCGTAATGCATTTGTGGTTCATCCATGTTGTTGTGTGTATCAGTGGTTTATTCTTTCCATTGCTGGGTAGTATTCCACCATGGGGATGTGGCCTAGATTCCCCAGATGATGTTCATTTGAACTTTGTTTTCAGATTTTGGAGACTATTAATAAAGTCACTATAAAAATTGTGTGAGTACAGGTTTTTATTCCACTTGAGTAAATACCCAGGAATCTTATTGCTGGGTCATATGGTGGGTGTGTGTTTCTCGTAGTCAGTCTGTGGCTCACCTTTTCATTATCTGTACAGAGCCATTTGAAGAGAATAAGATGTTAATTGTGAGGAAATATATTTTCTCATTTTTTTCTGTTACTTTTCATTTTTGTTGTTTTATCTGAGAAGTATTTGCTTAACTGTGGTAACAAAGATTTTCCTTCATGTCATCTTCTAGAAGTTGGGTAATGTTAGGTTTTATGTTTGTGATGCATTTGGAATAAATTTTTAGAAGAAGACTTGCTGAAACATTTTAACTGATCAGGAAAAGAGATGAATCAAGGATAGAAAATTGCTACATTTTTGGCTAAAAATCGACTGATAAGCTAATAGTGTTGTTCATAGAGATAGAAAGAAATGACAAAGAGGATAGGTTTGTGATAAAGATTGGGAAAACTGCTCAATCTGGAGTACATTAAGATATCAGAGAGGTGGGCCGGCCCCGTGGCTTAGGGGTTAAGTGCGCGCGCTCCGCTGCTGGCGGCCCGGGTTCGGGTCCCGGGCACTTACCGACGCACCGCTTCTCCGGCCATGCTGAGGCTGCGTCCCACATACAGCAACTAGAAGGATGTGCAACTATGACAGACAACTATCTACTGGGGCTTTGGGGGAAAAATAAATAAATAAAATCTTTAAAAAAAAAAGATATCAGAGAGGCAATTTAGAAGGTCAGGTAAAAAGTTGGAAAAATGAGTCTGGAGTTTAGGGAATATCAAGGACAGTATGGAAGGTTTGGAATGGGAAACATCGACCAATTTTATTGAAAATTCCTGAGAATTAATTGAGCTGAGGATGCAGAAGTAACCACTAGACTAAAATGGAGTCAGTGGTGATGTTGACAGGAGTAGTCTCTGTGGACCTATACAGACCTGCCTGGGATGAACAGTGAGAGGGGAAGAGGAGCCAGGGAGCATCAGGAAATGGAATGGAGTTACGGGAAGTGGTGGAGACAAGAGTGTTTTTCTTTCAAAAGAGTCGATGTGAGACCATACTTGTATGCTGATGGGAGTAACCCAGGAGAGATGACGGAGGAGAAAGTGGAAACAGCAGGGCTAGAACCCTTCAGATGTCAAGAGAAGGTAGGATCCAGAGCCCATGTGGGGAACTAGCCCTTGAGGACAGAGAAAGCTCATCTTATATGATGAGAGAAGAGAGAGAAGGGGAGTCCTCCTGCAGCAACATATTTCAACTAGGGGATGGGTATACAGTGAGAAGATGCTCCTTACTCCACTTTCTGAAGGAAGAAGGACATGAGGGCATCAGCTAAACATGAGGGAGCCATAGAGCATGAAGCAGGTTTAGAGAGAAAGGAGAATCTGTGAATGGAAGTGGAGAACAAACATGGAGGGTCGAAGTGGCAGACTGGTATGACACACACGGCGATCTGCAAAATGAGCACATCAGAGTTGTACAGCTCAGTGGATGTTCCCAGGGGCGACACATCTCTTACGCCAGCACTTCAATCAATAAAAGAACAGCATCAGAATCCCAGCATTTTTGTGAGCATCACTGTCATTCCACC